CGTGTTCGCCTTCGCGGATGATTAAGAGAGCGTGGGTGGGTGTAGTTTTTAATGAAATGTGGACAAAAAGGGAAAAGGAAGACAGAATTTTGTGTTGCATAAGAACCTACAACAAACATCTGTAAACAATTACATGTGATGCAGGAGCAAGTGACAAATGGCCGTGAAGTGCTCGTAGAGACCGCGGGGTTAAAACGGGTTACAGTCCACAGTATCATGCAGACTCGTCATAGAAGGGAAACCGTACACTCCTGGGGCGATAAAAGTGAAGTGAAGGGTGTGTTTTGCGGTCATGCCCGTCTGTCTGGCTGTCTGACCAGTTCCTTTTTCTTCCTTTCTTTTTTAGTTGTCGATTGGTGCTGCCGATGAAATGAAGACAAACTCTCTCCGCTCTTTCTGCCTTCGTCGCTGGCTGTATTTATCTCGTTTCGTCTCATATTCCTCTCTCTCTCTCTCTCTCTCTCTCTCTCTCTCTCTCTCTCTCTCTCTCTCTCTCTCTCTCTCTCTCTCTCTCTCTCTCTCTATATATATATATATATATATATATATATATATATATATATATATATATATATACATATATATATATATGTATATATATATATATATATATATATATATATATATATATATATATATATATATATATATATATATATATATATAAATGCACACACACACACACACACACACACACACACACACACACACACACATATATATATATATATATATATATATATATATATATATATATATATATATATATATATATATATATATATATATATATGCATATATATATATATATATATATATATATATATATATATATATATATATATATATATCAATTTGTCTATCTATCTGTCTCTATCCCTATATGTCTATTAATCCATCTATCTATCTATGTATCTGTCTATACATCTACATACCCATCTATCCATCTATCTATCTATCTATGTATCTGTCTATACATCTACATACCCATCTATCCATCTATCTATCTATCTATCTATCTATCTATCTATCTTTATATCAATATCTACATCCACTTACTTATCCATCTATTTATTTATCTATTTCTCTTCCTCTTCCAACTCTTCTTCTGCCCTTCCCTTTATTTCCCACTTTCTTCTTCTTCTCTCCTCCTTCCCTCTTTTCCCCCTCCTCTAATTCCCTCCTCCTTCGTTCCTCCTTTATTCCCTTCCTCCTCCCTCCTTTATTCCCTCCACCTTCCCTCTTTCCCCCTCCTCTAATTCCCTCTTCCTTCGTTCCTCCTTCCCTACCATCTCCCTCCTTTATTCCTCCTTCCCTTCCTCCTCCCTCCTTTATTCCATCCATCGTCCCTCTTTTCCTCCTCCTTCGATCCTCCTCCCTCCTTTATTCCCTTCCTACTCCCTCTTTTATTCCTCCTCCCTCCTTTTTATTCCCTCCTCCTTTCCTCTTTTCCTCATCCTTCGTTCCCCCTGCTTTATTCCCTCCTCCTTCCCTCTTTTCCTCCTCCTTCGTTCCTCTCCTTCGATCCTCCTCCTTCCCTCTTTTCCTCATTCTCTAATTCCCTCCTCCTTTCCTCTTTTCCTCCTCCTTCGTTCCTCCTTCCCTTCCTCCTCCCTCTTTTATTCCCTCCTCCTTCCCACTTTTCCTCCTCCTTCGATCCTCTCCTTCGTTCGACTACTTCAACTCCCTCCTTTATTCCCTCCTCCTTTGTTCCTCCTTCCCGTCCTCCTCTCCCCTTTATTCCCTCCTCCTTCCCACTTTTCCTCCTCCTTCGTTCGCCTCCTTCACCCCGAGATAATCCTTCTGCCGCTCTCTTTTCGCCGGAAATCCCTCGAGATCATTATAAATCGCGCAAATGGGATCATTATTATTTTTTCCCTCACTTCTTCGTCCTTCGTCGCGCTCTCTCGCCGTCTGTCATTTGCCATTTTCGTTTATTCGTTTTATTTATCTCTTTCTCTCTCTCTTTCTGTCTCTGTCTCTGTCTGTCTGTCTGTCTGTCTCTGTCTCTCTCTCTCTTTTTCTCTCTCTCTCTTTCTCTCTCTCTCTCTCTCCCTCTTTCTTTCTCTCTCTCTCTCTCTCTCTCTCTCTCTCTCTCTCTCTCTCTCTCTCTTTCTCTCTTTCTCTCTCTCTCTCTCTCTCTCTCTCTCTCTCTCGCTCCCTCTTTCTCTCTCTCTCTCTCTCTATCTCTCCCTCCCTCCCTCTCTCTCTCTCTCTCTCTCTCTCTCTCTCTCTCTCTCTCTCTCTCTCTCTCTCTCTCTCTCTTTCTCTCTCTCTCTCCTTATCTCTCTTTCTCTCTCTTTCTCTCTCTCTCTCTCTCTCTCTCTCTCTCTCTCTCTCTCTCTCTCTCTCTCTCTCTCTCTCTCTCTCTCTCTCTCTCTCCCTTTCTCTATCTCTCTCTCTCTCGCTCCCTCTTTCTCTCTCTCTATCTCTCTCTCTATCTCTCCCTCACTCTATCTCTCCCCCTCTCTCTCTCTCTCTCTCTCTCTCTCTCTCTCTC